CTCCCTTTTACAGGACTGAAGCCTGGGTCCCTTTTTCTCTAATGTTCTCCAAATTGCTCTTGCCTCATGCAGATATTTCCTAATTTGAATAAAAAATAAAAGTAAAAGAAAAAAACACAACCTTCCATTCTTCTAGTCCTCTTCTTTTGCAAATACCTGAAAATACTTTACACTTGCTGCCTTCCCTTAATTAATTATTATTTTTTATTAGGAAATGTAATAAAAGTACAAAAGAATATGTGACTTTAATAATAATTATTATTATTCCCATTGTGGTAGAAACCCCTAATTATCTGTAATATCTGTTCTCTTCTTCTTTCCTATTAAGAAACCCTCAAATGTGAACTGGGTACATGGCTGCCTAGACAGAGATTACATTTCCCAGCCTCCCTTGCAACTAGGTGTGGTCATATGACTAAGTCAGGCAATGGGACACATGTAGAAGTGATAAGTACAACTGCTTGATTATATCATTAAAAACAAAGATTTTTGGCCTTAGCTGGGCAGGAAGCCAAATCAGCAGCCCTGCCTGACCGGGGAGACTGACTACAGAGCACAGCAACTTTATTGAATTCATTTGTTCTAACAGTTTTTTGGTGCAGTCTTTAGTTTTCTATATATAAGATCATGTCATCTGCAAACAAGGATAATTTTACTTCTCTCTGATTTGAATGTCTTTTATTTCTTTTTCTTGCCTAATTTCTCTGGCTAGGACTTCTAGTACTGTGATGAATAGAAGTGGTGAGAGTAGGCACCCTTGTCTTGTTCCTGATCATACAGGAAAAACTTTCCGATTTTTATCACTGAGTATGATGGTAACTGTGGGCCTGACATATGTGGCCTTTATTACGTTGAGTTATATTCCTTCTATACCTAATTTGTTGAGAGTCTTTATCATGAATAGATGTTGAATTTTGTCAAGTGCTTTTTATGCACCTATCAAAATGCTCATACATTTTTATCCTTCAGTCTATTAATGTGGTGTGTTAAATTGATTTGTGTATATTGAACCATCCTCGCATCCAGGTATAAATCTCGTTTGATCACGGTGTCTGATCTTTTTAATATACTGTTGAATTTGGTTTGCTAGTGTTGTGTTAAGAAATTTTGCATTCGTGTTCATCAGGGGTATTTTCTTGTACTGTCTATATGTGGTTTTGGTATCAGGATAATGCTGGTCTTCGATTTTTTGGACTCGTTTGAAGATGACTGGCATTAATCCTTTTAAAAATGTTTGGTAGAATTTACCAGTGAAGAGATCTGGTTTGGGGCTTTTATTTGTCAGGAGGTTTTTGATTATCAATTCAATTTTCTTACTCGTTATTGGTCTGTTCAGATTTTCTGTTTCTTCATGATTCAGTCTTGGTAGCTTGTATGTTTCCAGAAATTCATCCATTTCTTCTAGGTTGTCCAATATATTGGCATATGATTGTTCATAGAAGTCTCTTACAATCCTTTGTCTTTCTGTATCTGTTGTAATGTCTCCTCTTTCATTTATAATTTGTCTTCTTTCTTTCTTTCTTTTTCTTTCTTTCTTTCTTTCTTTCTCTTTCTTTCTTTCTTTCTTTCTTTCTCTTTCTTTCTTTCTTTCTTTCTTTCTCTTTCTTTCTTTCTTTCTTTCTTTCTCTTTCTTTCTTTCTTTCTTTCTTTTCTTTTCTTTCTTTCTTTTTCTTTCTTTCTTTTCTTTCTTTCTTTTTTTTTTGGTTAGTCCAACTAAAATTTTGTCTATTTGGTTTATCTTTCAAAAGAATAACAATTAGTTTTGCTTATTTTTCCCATTATTTTTCTAACGTTTTCTAGTCTCTATTTTATTTATTTCTACTTTAATCTTGATTACTTCCTCTTTCTGCCATCTTTGAGATGAGTTTATTATTCTTTTTCTAATTCCTTGAGGTATAATGTTAGGTTGTTTAATCAAGATCTTTCTTTTTTCATAATGTAGGTGCATATCGCTCTAAACTCTCCTCACAGAACTGCTTTTGCTGCATATCATACGTTTTGGTACGCCATGTTTCCATTTTCATTTATTCCAAGATTTTTAAATTTCCCTCTTGATCTTCTTTGAACATATTGATTATTCGTGAATGGATTGTTTAATTTCTATGTTTGTCAATTTTCCACTTTTCCTGTCATTGATTTCTAGTTTTATACTATTGGGGTCAAAAAAGATATTTGATTTGATTTCAACCTTTTTTAATTTGTTAAGACTTGTTTTGTGTCTTAACATATGACCTACTCTAGAGAACGTTGAGAAAGATGTGTATCTGCTGCTGTTGGATCAAATCTATGTACATCTGTTAGGTCTCTAGTTGGGCAGGACTGCTGTCCATGCTATGAGGTCGGGGGACCAATGGCTGGGCTCCCTGAACAGGCGGGGCTACTGGCTGAGCTACACAGTCAAGTGGAGCCTCTAACTGGGCTCTGCGACAACCTCTGGTTGGGTGGGATTGCAGGTTGTATTCCCTGGCAGGGGGGTGCTGCTGGCTGGACTCCAGGATTGGGTAAGGCTACAGGCTAGGCTCTGCAACTGCACCAGATCAGGTGGGGCCCCAAGCTGTGCTTTCCAGCAGATGTTGCCACCGGCTGATTCTAAGTTCAGGTAGGGCTGCAGGCTGGGATCCATAGCTTGGGCGGCACCCCAAGCTATGCCCCCCAGCCAGATGTTGCCACTGGCTGGACTCCAGGTTCAGGCAAGGCTGCAGGTTGGGATTCATGATCAGACAGAACCTCAGGCTATATTCCACAATTGAGCAGGCTGCTGGTTGAGCTCCACTGCTGAGTGAGGTGACCAGCCAGGCTCCCTGGTCAGGCAGGGCCACCAGCTTCACCTCACAACTAGGTAGGGCTGGAGGCTGTGCTCTGGGGTCAAGTGGAGTCATTTTCTGGGTTCACTGGTTGAGTAGGATGGCAAGCCATGTTCTGCTTTTGCGCAGGGTTCTTGGCTTGGTTCCCTACCTGGGCGAGGCTGCAGGCTGTGCTCAACAATCAGTGGGGCCATAGGCTGGGCTCCAAGGCTGCATGGGTCACTGTTCAGGCTCCCAAGTCAGGTGTGGTCAGAGGTTACAGCTCTTATTTTCAATTATTTATATTTTGTGGACGTTATATTTGGTTGTTTTTTCAGTTTTGACTGGCCATTTTTAACAAAATCTAATCTGTTAGACATACTTTCAAAATGCGTGAATACTCATACATACATATATATACACATACACACATATATACATATACACATGTATACTTATTTTATCCAATAATTCTTATATATGTAGTATTCAGAAGTCTGATTCTGCTTTTTGTTGTTTCTTCTGACTGTATCACTTATGTGGCATTTTTCTTATGTTGTCCTACAATATTTGATTGTATATGCATGTTCCTTAGTACTTCCCCTTCCTGTAGGAAGGCCTGAAAGGTGAAAATTTACATTTGCTTCTGCCAAGCACCCCAACCAAGCACTGCTACCAAACCTGTATCATCCTAAGGTAATTATACACTGTGATTTTCTTCAAGCCACTTGGGTAATGTGAATTCTAGTTCTAAATCCATAAAAAGGTAGTGTTGTGATCCTGAATTTTCAGGAAATATCTTTTACCCCTCTACCCAGACTCAAGATTTAGACAGATGAGTTTCCTTATATCTCTTTGTAGAATGGGATTTTTCCTAGTTCATCCAACCAGGGTTTCACCTCTTGGGTCTCCAGTATGCCCTTCTATGTCGCATAGGTCCCAGGCCTTGTCTCCTTTCCTTTGGGTGTAGACTTCTAGACTTTATATTATAGGAGGAACAATAAAGATACTCATGTCTGCTGATTAGTAATATCTCCTAAGGAAATAATTCACAGGAGAAAAAATACTAAGGTGTTTATTTTCTTCCTGTGTGATGGAAGAAAGAGGATTGGAGGGATCTTTCTGTACTTGGCTAGTTTGCAGGATCTATGATAAATGGTGACATAACTCAATAATTATATAAATACAGATAATTAGAGGTAAAGGAACATGTTTTTCTTAAGAGAATTCCTATTAAATTGGCAACAACCCTGGAAGAGCATTAAGCAATAAGATTTAAGAACCAAGAGTGATTAATTTAAAGTTTCCACAAGCCTCTAACAAAGTTCCATACTGAAGTCATCTTTAAAAGATACATTAAGTCAAATATACATATATGTATGTATACACACACAAAGGCACAAGTACACACACATGTACATATAATCACTACTGGCTCTGCTTTCTTACTTGGCAGGAGAATGGCAAGCTCATAAAGCTTCATGATAGGAAAAAGTGTATGGTTTTGTGATAGAGCGGAAGAGCAGCAGATGAGTTTCACAGTTTAAAGTATCACTATAACAAAATGTTCAAGCATAACAAACGAAGACTGCACTCACTAGATGCACACAAAATCACCCTCGTGCAGATCTTTCCCCCCCAGACTACGGCAACAGTGCCCCCTAACTGAGGTCTCCATCTCCGCCCCTCGTGATCTCCTTCCAAATGCAACCAAGGCCATTGAAAAAATAAGGTATATTATATGATTATATCGCCTCATCTGCTTAAAATCTTCTAATGGCTCCTCACTGCTCAAGATAGAAACAAAAAGTCCTGTGGTGTACAAGGTCCTGCAAGCTGGCCACTTCCTCTCCAGCCTCACGTCTCTGCTCCAGCCCTCACTTCCCCTCACTCTCTGTTCCAGCCACCTTAGCCACCTTGCAGTTTCTTTACGCCACATTTCTCGCAAGATAAGCTAGTACATCCCCTGTGTCCTTACCTCACTCTTTACCTAGTGAATTCCATTCATTCTTCAGCTCTTACGATCGCCTCCTCAGGAAGGCCTACAACCAGGTGTCTGCTATTCATTATCAGAGCACCATCGTATTAGTTTCCTGTGGCTTCTGTGACAAGTTACCACAAACATGGTGGTTTAAAACAACATATTTATTCTCTTAGAGTTCTGAACGCCAAAGGTCTAAAATCAGTTTCACTGGACTAAGGTCGAGGTGTGAGCAGGGATGGTTTTTTCTGGGAACTCTGAGGGAAGAAATGTTTTCTTGCCCTTTTCAGCTCCCATAGCCTGTGGCCCCTTCTTCCATCTTCAAAGCACATCACTCCAATCTTGGCTTCCACATCCCATGGTCTTCTCTCTTGACTCTGACCTTCTCTCTTGACTCTGACCTTCTCTCTTGACTCCTGCCTCCCTCTTCTAGGAACTGTGAGGGTTACATTTGGTTTACCCAAATAACCCAGGATAATCTACCCGTTTAAAAATCTTAATGACATATGCAAGGTCTGTTTTTGCCACGTAAGGTGCCATATTCACAGAGGTTAGGACGTGAGGATATTTGGGGGACCATTATTTAGCCTACTACAACTGTTGTACCTTTCCTTCAAGGCATTTATCACATTAGTAAAAACATAGCAAATGCTCATTTTCATCATTATTTGATTAATGCTCATGAACTCCCTAGACTGAAAACTACATAAGGATAAGAACAGAGTCTGTTTTTCTTCATTACTGATCCTTAGCACCTAGGCCGGTGCTCATTAAATATCTATTGAATCAACAGATGAATTATCATCCAAGCATGAAAAACAAAAATTAGGAAGGTAAAGTGAGAACATGCTACATGGAAACTTTTCCTTTGGACTTCCAGTATTGTTTTCACTTTGTTTGTGCAATAAATAAAAATCAAGAGGAAAAAACTGTAGTATTGAATAAGCTCATGAAGAACTTCTACCAAAAAAAGTGTTTATAAGCTGATTACTTACTTAGTATCCAAAAGCTGAAGCTGGTGGTTACTGTCTCTGTGGGACATCTTCAGTTTGGTGCTTTGCTCTGATATTGACAAGTCTACTCTGTTCAAAAGCTGAGAAATCTGGAAAAGAGACTTGCTTGTAAATATCGCATCAAACCTTTTCAGAGGTAACTTCAGAAAACATTTAGTAAGCAATATTCTAGTCAAATGGCATGAAGAGTCCATCTAATTTAATACATTCATCTAGGAGTTTGCCTCCTCTTTCCACTTCCATTTCCTTTCATATACACCTATCAAAAATCAAGACCAGTAGCACTGCCAAAACATTCATTATGCACTGAGCACTTAACTTTACAGTTCTCTGATGAGCTAACCCAGTTCCTGCCCAGGAATACTATTCCCACCTGCTGGAACAAAATATCGTCATCTTTACAGTGGGATTTCTACCGTTAATGTGCCTGCTAGTCACAGAGAATGGAGTTCTTATCACCTGTAAAATCCATTAAGTTCCTAGATTTGCTTCCGTCCTGTTAAGTCACCAGAAAATATAACTTCTAAATTACATCCTTCCCACTCTTTTCTCCCACTACCCATTACTCTTGTCTTTTTACTAACATTTAACATAAAACTAGTGCTATATAAAATGTCTTTATTTTCTGCAAAAGTTATGTTCAATGTTCCTTACTTAAAGATTCATGGAACTATTTATCAGATCCAGAACAAAGAAAAAGTATATCTCTTTTTAGATAGATATCTACATGTATTTTACTTGACTTGGCTACCAGCAAGCTTAATATTTCTTTAGCATCTATTTTCTGATGTAATAATTTTATTCTCACTCATTCTCTGAAAAAAAATTATTGAACTTGTCATTATATTGTTTTTTTTCATGGTTTTATAATATCTGTGTTTTTTACGTAAGTCGATTTAGATACTCATTGATGTAGTTAGGACACAAGTATTTTTAATCTTATAAATTGACCAACTGCCCATTTTACTGGAATAGGCTCTCTTTAAATGAGCAGTAATAGTAGGGCAGATACTACAGGAAAAGTCAAAGAAAGACAGGCTTCATTATGGCAAAGGGAAACTTTTAAGTGGCCAAAAAACAAACTGCAAAATGTCAAGAATTTTGCTTTGTGAAATTAATCTGTGAATTTTAAGGTGGAATACTGAAATTCATTAGCCAACCTACCACCTAGCTTTGTCCTATTTTTTTCCTACATATAGACCATGGGAAGAGGTAGCGCATGTGATGAGTCCCAGTGAATGCAGTAACCATTTCCTGAACCAAAAATTGGGACAAGTGGCGTTGTGAAAAAGACGGTTTGATCGCTTACCTGCGAAAGAGGCAGTTTTGGAGTTATAATTTAGAATTTCTGGAATATATTAATTGTTT